AAAATCATGAGTAACGTGACATGGGCATTAAATGTCAATATCTGCAAGTCCAGCTCTTCAATTTTGAGAGACTTGCATAACTCTTGGCATCTTAACTCTAAATTGCTGAAGCCCTTCTGCAAGTGTCTCTGCCAATTAATTGAAGTCGCCTAGAGCCAGACGCGACGTACCTGCCATCCGGCGAGAAGCAGACGGACAAGACCCAGCCGTGTCCTTCGAAGGGTCCAGAGACAGCACGCCCAGTTTCAGTGTCCCATATTCGAATCGTCCAATCGTAGGATCCTGAAGCAATGCGTTCGCCATCGGGCGAGAAAGCATTAAGCAACGGAAATTATATCGTCTGTATGCCCTTCAAAACTCCCGGAGTCAACCTGTTCATCCTCGGCATCCCAGATTCGAATAGTCCTGTCCACGGAGCCCGAGAGAATACGAGTTCCGTCGGGAGAGAATGCAACAGACAGTATCGAGTCGGTGTGCCCTTCGAGAGGTCCAGAAACGACCTGGCCGGCTTCAATGTCCCAGATCCGAATCGTCTTGTCACTAGAACAAGAGAAGACAATGCGTTCCCCATTTGGTGAGAATGCAACACAAATTACTGGCCCGGTATGGCCATTGAAAGGCAAGGAAACAATTTCACCACTCCCGACATTCCAGATTCGAACCGTATTGTCCAAGGAGCCTGAGACATTGCATGTACCGTCACGAGAGAAAGCGACCGAGGAGACGTCCACATCAGGCATTTCACAATTTCTTTCCTTAAAAAATAACTTACATAATGTTAAATATAATTCATAATTTAATTTACCATTTTTGGTTGATAGAAATTGTAAACAACATTTAAAAATTTCTTTAGACAAAAACTATAAATTAATTTTGGCATATCTTTATTTGTGAAATCTTGAAATAAATGAGAATAATTATTTAAAACATAATTTGAAGTTTCTTTTAAAACAAAATTATAAATTTTCTTTCAATTTTAAGACAAAAAATATTTAGAATTTCATTTATAATATTAAATCTTATAAAATATTAAAAGAAATTTAAAATTTTACCTAGAGAAGAAATGCTAAAAAAAATTTAAAATTATTTCAAAGTAGACAGTCAGTAGGCAATCAGTAGGTAATCAATGAGTAAGTAATGGGTAAGTAATAGGCAAGCAATAGGCAATCAGCAGGCAATCAATAGGTGATCAACAGGTGACTACCAAATAAAGACATTTTTGCTTCATTTGGTAGTCACCTGTTGATTGCCTGTTGATTACCTATTGATCACCTACTGATTACCCATTGCTTGCCTATTGCTTACCCATTACTTACCTATTGCTTACCCATTGCTTGCCCTATTGCTTACTCATTGATTACCTACTAATTGTCTACTGAC